ATCCCGCTGAGCCGCTCCAACGTTGCCAATTCAGCTCCTGCTGAGCAGAGGCACCACTTAACTACAAAAGCACTGCTGTGCTCATTCCATCACATTTAAACAGATCCCCTGGCCCTCTCTCGCTCGCCTCTCCGTCGAGCTCTAGAAGTCAGCCCCACCGAATTCACTGATACCCCCTTCTTTACGGTAAATGTTGCCTTTTATTCAAAAGTTTTATTTTTTGTTACTTGCTTATGCCACGACTCGAGGACAACGAAATAGATTTATTGAAAACTTATTTTTCCAGGTGCTTGTTTACAGCCTCCACATACTGCATTGTTAACTATTTCTCAGGAAGTAGCATTTGGGGTCGAGATTGTTTGAATACTATGACTCTGATTATACATGTTTGTATGCTTGTATGTCCAGTAGTCTTCACTAAGTAGTAAAGATGCCAGAATAGATTATAGTTACTATTATCTAGGAAAAACTGTTGAAATATCTTTAAATAATGAACTAGATATTATGTTTTGTACATTCTAGATTTTTTTTTATAACAACATGTTATTATATTTCGACATTTTAAAAATCACGTTTAACATTTCACTTACAACTGTTAGTCTCAATTTAGGGTGATTTATATATTTATATATAAACCGTTCATTGTACAAAGTCATCTTCACATAATCGACACAGGGTGGGATCGTAGGCAGGAGGGCATGTGTTCACCGTGAGAATGTTTTCATTAAGGAGCCAATTCCAAACGAACAAATAAATTAGGCGCCTTCCTCTGGGTTGGTCGCTGGATCAGCACCACGGAGAGCGCTCCACGGGACAGCCAGAGGCACGGCTTGACTGACAGCTCCTGGGCTGATTAGCACCCTGCTGGGTAATTAACAGAGCTCGGGGACAGCCCGGAGATACATCGCACATCAAGCCAGCGCCTCCCACCTCACACTGAGGGACACACGCGGCAGTAAACATGCATCTAAAATATGTGCACAATAAAACTTGTGCGTACAGTATAAATATATAAAAAGCTCAGTTTAATACAAAAAAGCACGTTTTAATGCATGAGTAAAAATATGATTAATCAAGTATTGCTTTACTCTTGTGTGATGGTTATATGGTAACTATAAATGCACTTAATTATGCCAATGCTGTAGTCATGCTGTATACAAATAGCCAACGATGATCTTCATTGCCTGTATATACCACCAATGTGTATGAGAAAATAGCTTTAGATATGACATCATAGTTAAAACAATTATTATTTATTTTTGGGTCTGGGCAGATACATTGATGATTGCTCATTTATGAGCACTCTTTGAAAGAATAGGTCATCAAAGACTGTTTTGTTCCAAGTTGTATGCAACACATATACAGCCATAAATTAATCGCTCCATCTCCCCAGTGAATGTACAATCAGACACGTTTCATTCAGTGGAGAGGCAGCCAAGGAACGGAACGCATCCAAGAGGACGTCAACTGAGGTTGCTCGTTTCATTGTTGCATTGCAGGATCGTGCAAGAAGGTGACAGCTTGAGGAGACCTTCATCCAGTGAGGGATTGATCATAGCTGATGATGATGATAACATGTATAAAATAACAATAATTATTTTAGCTTACATTTACCATTATTTGAAAGTCTGTACTATGATCCTGTCAGAATATTGTTTGTTTCACTGTGGCTTTTTACCCGTGTACTTGTGTAAGTTGTTTGTGATCTATACAACTATACATTATTACATTATAATACACTCGCTATTCAGTTGAATACCTCGAACACTGTAATACATGAAAACAGGTCCGTGCATTTTTTTATATATTGAAGCAGTTAACTTCAGTAAACCAACACCCCCCACACCACACACCACCCTTGGCAGCCCTCAATGATTTATGTCCCAATAGTCACAGCGTTTGTTTTCGGCAGGGAGGGGCGTGGGGGGAGGGCGCGATACTATAGGGGTCGCAGGTCATTACCCCCGGCAAGGCATGGCGCGGAGATGGCAAATGGAACGAGGCGGCTTCCAGCAGGCCCGCTCGCTTGCACCGCCACGTGCGCCCTCTCCGCTCACCAGGACTGCTCCGGTGCTGCGGAATGTGAGAAATTGAGGGGCGGACTGGAGAGCCGGGGACAGCCGTGGCGGAAAATTGTGAAATATCACGGCCTCGGCCAAGTCAATCTGAAACGCCGGCAGAAGGCTGGCCCTCCTCAATCTACTAACCGCTACAACATCAATTTCCACAAATGCAGAGATAAAATGCCTTGGAACCCTGTCGTGCATGATTAAGTATCTTTGAAAGAAATACAAAATGAATAGGTGGAGCCCACCTGTTTTGGAAACAAATTTAATAAGATATGGATTGCAAGGTAGTGCTATTTTACTTTAAGTTTGCCTCGTAAAATATTTTATTTTTCTGAAGTGAAAGGAATTCTTTTTTTTACAACAGTTTTCATTTATTTTTGCTCGTTCGAAATGAACCGTGAAAGATGCAAAAATTGTTTTCAAAATACGAATTTCATACAAAAACATGAAATGCTTAATTGCTATTTTAAGCGACAAACATAATTCACAATTGCAATGAAGACTCTGAGTGGAGTGAGAGCCATTCAATAGTAAAATAAAAGCAAGAGTGTTTGCGTGAATAGGCACTGTGTTTCTTTGAAGAGATTCAATAGGGTTTCACGGCATTGCTTTTATGACAGGCTTTTATTTTCCCTAGGCATTGGTCAATAAAAAACTGTCTTTGTGTGTTACAGGAACGTTATCTAATAAACGTAAACTGCCAATTTGTGTTTATGTAATGGATCCCCATTTGTGTGCTGGGATTGTGGCCACATATGGAAAATTACCTCTGCAATTATTTGGCTCAGTAGATTATTTCTTCAGGTAGTGATTTCCGGGACTAAATGCTCTGCGTTGTTCTCTAGGGGAATTTCTTTAGGGACAAACTGCCAAAAGGCAATATCTGGTGTTCAGACGTTAGTATAGGAAAAGGTGATAATCAATATGCGCGTGTCCAAAAATGTTTTATCGTTGTACGCGACAACAATTAGTCATGCTTCTAAACTGCCAAAAACAAACGTGCGAATGACCGCATTGAGAAGAAAGTGATTCCAAAGAGATGATACAAAGCACAAGGAAAACCACCCAACAGAAGGACCTTAAAGACAGGGTGAGACAGAGAGTGATGCACCAAACAGCCAGAGAATTCCAGAGGGAAGCCTTCCAGTAGACCAGTAGCTAACGGCGCTCGCGTATACATCACCATGCCGTGGGTGGTGGTAAACCACACGCAGGCCTAACGCGCGCAAGCACACATCGATCTGATTCTGCTCGACACTTAGATTGCGATTTGAGCGGAATCGATGGTGCCTGCTCCTGCGATGTTTAGGGAACTGGTAATTAAGGAGTTGGGGGATGGGGGGTGGAGTTTTGACACATTTGCGTGAGAGATCGATGGGAGGCATTCTAATAGGATGCCTCTGCCACGAGCATTTCTGAATATACGTGTGCGTGTGTCTGGGCGTGCACGTGTACACGTGTTTGCGCAAATATATGCACGTTCGTTGTGCACGCACGTAACATGCATGCATGCATGTACTCCAACATGTATGCCTGTATGCTGAACTTCTTTCGCACCATACGTAGCCAACCGTGCTAATCGGAGGTGTAAGACGTTTCCTCAAACAAGATGTGTGAAATACACGAGCGCTTCCAGAAAAAAAAGTTGAAATGGCAGACGGAAGAGGCGATTACAATAAAATGATAATGTAATGGAGGCGGCAAGAAATAAATGTAAGGCAGGCCAAGTGATCACGGCTGTTACATTGGCAGTGATTCTGCTGTGGGTGTTGTTGGGCTATGTAGGTGAGCTGCCCAGGGCCCGTGTCGGTTCATGACTGAGCGATAGATCAACGTTGTCACTTAGCGGCACACTTTAGTGCCAAACCACAGCCACGACGTTTTGTCATTCAGCTAAAGAACAGTGTGGAACTTTTCATATAAAAGTTGTTGGGGGTGGGGGGGTTATGGACAGCTTCATAATTTTAGCTGATGTTGGTTGATTCCACGAAATAATGAATCCCATGTTAAAGTTGGAAAATCTGAAGACTACGAAAACCCCAAAGCATATACATTTGGAAGCATTATGCGGTCGTTCACAGATACGACGACGATGATGACGATGATGATGGAATAAATACTAAGTTGAGGATAGCGAACACTTGAGGTCATGACCCTGGACGAAGAAGAGGGAATACATGCTTCGTCCACGAGTCCTTTCCCCACGCATCGCACCGAGGTTCCCATCAGTCTTTACTGCCTCTCACTCAATGGCCTCGCTCTCCCAAACAACCCTAAAAACAAAAGAGAAAGATCCTCCGTTTAGCCGGACACTGTTTGGGGCAAGTGCTGTTAGCGAGCGCCTATGAAGGCCGGAAACAATGCACGAGGGGCTGGGTGGCTAGCACCACGCCCGACCGCCTTTGTCTCCCCAGTGGCGATGTTTTTACACACCGCACCAGGTACCAATTTGAGGCTGAGTCGACTTAGGGGAGGCCCGGGACCGGTTCAGATCATCGTCACTGGTGTTGGCCTTGAGCGAGAATCGAAACCTCGGCTCACCAGGTTTCGTAGCGCAGCAGCGCAGCGCCTACCACGACGCTGCCGCTCCCCCAAACAATCCTCGTCCCCCACTCTTCACCCGGCGTCTCAACACCCAACAAAGCGCCCGTCACCTCCCCACCAATCCCCACCAATCCCATCCCCCCCCACCGGTCCCACCAGCTGCCCCCGCCGCAGACTCTTGCCGTGAATTGACAGGGTCCCCGGGATGAGCCAGTAGGGATCGACCGCGGCCAATTATCGGTTCCCCTGTTTGAGCCGTGTCAAAAGTCCTGGGACTTGGGGGCATCTCCTCTCCCTTTCCATCTTCACGTTTGTCTTTACGTTCGCTGCGTTTTCTTGGAATCAGTTTAACAACAAAAAAAACTTTTGTATTTCTACTTTTTTTTTCTTTGTGTGTGTGTGTGTGTCGCGAACATTGGCAGTTTTTTTTTTGTTTTCCAGTAGAACTTTTCCTCAAGAATGTGCAAAACTTAAGCCGGTGGCATAATCCTTGCTTGCGGCAGCAATGTGATCCGCTGTTGCGTTGTTGGTTTTGGCGCTGTGAGGAACTGCCTCCTCAGTTTGGACCTCAATCACCTCGAGCGCAGCGCGTGGTCGTGTTGTTACCTTTATCGCTGAAACGTGTGTTTGTCTGCCTTCTGGAGCGAGTCCGTGCGACTGGATTCGTCTGTATACTGACTCTATTTTGACTTCATCAGACTTTGTCGATCCCCTGCCGGATGACGGCCTCACCACTCAGTCAGCAGACCTCACGGCCCAGTTGCTGCTGCCGCTGCTACCATCCATCTCGCCGATGCACGTGAGCTATCGCATTACCTTTGACTGTGAAATATATGTTGGATACTGTGTGCAAGTGTGTTACACTTAAAGCAATTATCGTTTATTACGGACTTTTTAAGGTCTGCACTCTTTGGTTATTTCGGTAAAGTCACGTAGGTAGACGATTAAATAAATCACGACGTTTCGATCGCAACACAAGCGGTCGTCCTCAGGCGGAAAAAATATAATCTAGCAGTGGATCCAGCAGTTCCACTGCTGATTTATTTTATTTTCTACCTACGTGACTTTACCGAAAGAACCAAAGAGTATGGATTCCTGGAGTCACGAAAGCTTCAAATCAATGTTTAAGGTCTGCTTTAACACAACATTGGTAGCAGAGTGGCTAGCAAAAGGAGCACAGACTGCAACACAGCAATTCTAGATTTGAAGCTTTCGTGACTGCAAGGATCCACACTCTTTGGTTCTATTCGGTAAAGTCACGTAGGTAAAAAAATAAAATTACAAAAATCACGACGTTTCGGCCACAAGTGAAGGCCACTTGTGTTGTGGCCGAAACGTCGTGATTTTTGTTATTTTATTTTTTTACCTACGTGATTTTACCGAATAGAACCAAAGAGTAGGCAACACAGCAGTCGTTCACTTTGGCCAGCATCAACATTTAAATCCCGCGAATGATATCTGCTTAAACAACCACACATGCATGCATGCAGGCACACGGGCGTGTTACACACCACACACACACACAGACACGCACGGACGCACGCAAACAACCCTCCCCAAACAACAAACAAACAAACGCGGGCGCTGTTTCCCCAACTCTAAACTCTGGGGAGCTGGGGGGGGATGACTGTGAGGCTTTTCCGATCAGTGCGTGGCACCTCCCCGGGAGTCTCCCGAGGAGGTAGAAAAGTGTGAGGTCGTTAACAGCTGCTGCTGCTGCTGTTGTTGCTTCTGGTGGTGGTGGGGCTGCAACCTCAACCCATCCCCATCCCAGCCCCCCCACGTCGTTCTCCCGCCCACCGCCCCAGCCGCTCGCTCCAGGTCCTCTGCGTCGCCCGCAGGGTCAATACCCTCTCGTCAGGCTGTCAGCCCTGATACGCGCGAGAGATGGAAGGGCAGTTTTTTATTGTTGTTCTGCGGCCGTGTGCAGCTTGTCACGGCAATGCCACCTTCGACCTGATACACAAGACCTGCTGACAGGGTGTTTGTGGTCACGGAAAGGAGGCCGACACGGCCCGTGAACCCGTGTCCTGGATACTGTCAGAGGTTGCTGTGCACCATCATGTGTGGGATTGCGGATGAAGTGGCGGCGGGCCATATTGGGTGTACGTGCAAGGTGTCTGTGAAGGTGTCATCGATGATTAAAGAATTGTAATTAGACAGCGGTGTGAACCGTGTGGGTGAATGTTGGTGTTATGAGAACGATAAAGTGTTTTGTCAAAAAAAAATCACCAGGAAGGTTGAGTGATCTCCAACCGTACGTGACAGCAAGCAGCATTTGAAACATTCACAGCCGAGATGATACTGGCGAGCACCTGGGACCCTATCAAATCTCGATGCGATGCATGTCCCCAATGCAGTGGCGGACACGTGGAGGTTTAGAGGGGGTGAAGCGCATAAGATAAAATCTTCATTCTCCACCATGTGCATGTGTGTCATTGTATTGAGCGAGCTCAAACTGCTGCCTCATCGTGTGTTTTTATAATAATGGATGATTCCTTTGTGGACACCCTGTATAGCTGCAGTATTGAGAGAGTGGTAGGCATTAAGCAGACCCTAAATTGAGCACTTTCCTCTAAGCCAACGCTGTGCACATTAAAATCCATTAGTGAGCAAGTGCACTCGTATATCCTTGGGAAAATGCAAAAACATTCCCTTTTATATCTCTCACTAAAGAAGGCCACGGTTTGCCAGTAAAACTCAGAAAATTACCCACAATTGCTAGATTATCAAATTGGATCATTTTGATCACTTGGCAGGGCCAGACACTGGTGTGCTGGAGCTTGGTTGGGGGAAAGATCGATTTGGGCCAAAGCTACTACAGAAAGAGGCATGGTCACTGACGTGCAACGCTGTGCACAACGCGGAGCTGCTGCTCTGCGCACGGCGGTATTTGGCCACTTGCAACGCGGCCGCACGAGAGCTTTTGAAGGCGATGTCCTCTCTATTGTATTAGTCGGACGAAAGCTTCCGCAATTCGCTCCATCCACCATTGCTTCAGTCCAGACGGCCAGAGCCAAAGTATCAAATGAACCGCACTCACAAGGAGCTGGTCACTTTGACCTTCAACTTTTTACAAAATAACTAATATTTGTATTCTTGGTTCTTTCGGTAAAGTCACGTAGAAGGGAAACAATAAAACAATAAAATATTAAAAAATATAAAACAATAAAATTCTCACGACGTTTCGACTGCAACACAAGCAATCATCATCAGGTGTGAAAACCACAGCAATAAAATTTGAAAAAAGTGGCGGTTATTTTACGTTAGCACCACGGAGAGCGATCTGGAAGTTATTCAGATGGACGAGTCCATCTATGTTCGGAAAAGAGGAGGGGAGAGACGAAAATAATGGATGCGGTCTGAAAGCCACTGTAAGCATGAACAATCAATTAAGACCCAAAATGTTTATCAAATCCTTCCAATGATTGCTACGCCAGAATCCATCTTCTCGGTTGAAATTGTCTCTGTGTTTGTATATGTGCATAGCCTCATAAAAAGAGATCCCACCAACAGCCTCGTCATACAAACCAACAAAATAATTTCCGCATTAATTGATCAAACCAAACAGTTCTCGTTGAAACCTTCTGCAGCCATGCCACCAAGATTATACGGCTTACGAAAAATGCATAAAGTAGATAACCCCTTCGTCCCATAGTCTCTACTATCAACTCCCCCACCTACAAACTGGCTCGTTTTCTGTCTTGAATTAACACAAGATCCAGGTCCGATTCAACACATTACATAAAATTCGTGATCTGGTTCCGTCTGTAAAAGATGTGATTCCGGACATACAAAATCCTGGCGTCTACAAACTAAGTTGCCTCTGTGGTAGTAGTTACATTGGAAAAAGCAAACGACATGTCTCGGACCGCATTTGTGAACACAAAGCAGACCTAAAACACGGTAGGACCAACACCTCGGCCGTGGCAGATCACTGTTATAATTCAGTAGGCTCACATGACATTGACTTCTCCAAGACAGAGGTTCTTTGCAAGCCATCTGGCTACCATGAGAGATTCGTTCATGAAGCTATCCACATATACAAACACAGAGACAATTTCAACCGAGAAGATGGATTCTGGCTTAGCAATCATTGGAAGGATTTGATAAACCATTTCGGGTCTTAATTGATTATTCACGCTTACAGTGGCTTTCAGACCACATCCATTATTTTCGTCTCCCCCTCCTCTTTTCCGAACATAGATGGACTCGTCCATCTGAATAACTGCCAAATCGCTCTCCGTGATGCTAACGTTAAAAAACCGCCACTTTTTCAAATTTTCTTGCTGTAGTTTTCACACCTGATGATGATTGCTTGTGTTGCAGTCGAAACGTCGTGAGAAATTTATTGTTTTATATATTTTTAATCTTATTTTTTCCCTTCTACGTGACTTCACCGATAGAACCAAGAATATGAATCCCTGCAGTCACGAAAACTTTAAATCAAAATTTAAATAATATTTGATGGATTTAAAAAAACACGATATTTTAATGATCACACCACCTCGATCAGATTGACAAGAATGAGTTTTTTTATGATAATGTAACACGCTTGTAATAAGGTACAGGTTGTCTCTCGTTGAAGTTGTGTAGCTGGCTATGCGGGTGATGCTGCAGAGAACCGTATTTGTCAAGCAGTGGAACGGAGACCAAACGACGTCAGCGGCTGCGAAGGATCTTTTGCTCGTAATTTTCAAGCTGTCAGGGTTTGACTGCTAACTGCCCTGTGACCCATTATTTTACAAAAAGGCAGTCCTTCTTCATTAGCCAAGTGACTCGTGATGTGGGTGGCAATTAGAGTAACTAAGGCATCAATTTTTTTTTCGCATTGAATGGGTTATCGGAGCCGATATGAATGTGATCCACATCAATGTTTGTACCTTACACTGCATAGCCTCGTTTAATATAGGGAAGTGCATGCTTTCTAAAATCGCAAGTGCCATTCAGCAGCACTTTATATTGTTAAGATTGTTTTGGCAAGGCTCACGTGGCATTTGCTTGTGTATACTGTATGAGGTTTTTTTTTGCCTTATATAAAATCATCGTTGTTGATGTCAGGAGACAACACACACTTTAAGGTACGTCCGATATTCGGGAAAAATGTTTATATGTTTTCTTTTCAGAATATCATGGTAATATATATTATTTTCAGATCTGTCAATAACCATTTACACACTTTTTTTAATGAAAGGGGTTGACTGATGGAAGAGTGTTTTATTTCATGCCTCCAATAGGAATCATCACCTTAAAGCCACAAAAATGACCAAGTGACCTTTGTTGGCTTTTATTTTGAAATTGCGCGCACGCTATAAAAGTGCCATGGTTTGTATTGAAAAGAATCTCGGCAGGCTGCAATATAATCGACATAGGAGGCCCAGTGCAGAAAGGTTAACACAGCAGACCTAAAAAAATCTTTACCTTCTGCTTTTTCTCTCTCTCCCGCTCTCTCTTTCTGTTTACTTCTTCCATCGTGCGTTTTTGAAACCGAGTTTGCTTGGCATTGACCGACTGAAACAAAATACTTCACGCCCATTGACCAACGCTGATCAATGGTCAGCACCATTGATTGGTTTAATTTTGCGGCTAATTTGCAGCTCGTTAATTATAAGTGCTATAGTGGGAGGGAAAAATTGGAAACATGCGCAGACGAGTGTTCGCCAGCAATCACTTAATCAAATTGAATTACCTTTTATGATGTTGATGTTTTTCAAAAGCTGGACGCATTTACCAGCATCTCGTTACTTTTTTTGATGTTTCAATTAAAAAAAGCGATAAAGTATAAAAAACAAATCACGT